GAGAAGCCCACGCGGGGAGGTCGTGCGGTGCCACCCCACCCCGGAGGCGCCGACCACGCTCGAAACTGGCCGCCGTAGGCCGACTCGCACGTCCTGACCAGTCGAGCTGCGCGGCTCTCGCCGCCGCCAGCGCTGTCCGCGCGGGCTCCCTGCACACCAGCGCGGGGGCGCGCGGCCAGGGAGGCGGCAGCCGCGGGAAGGGAGCGCGCGGGGGCGCCTGGGCCGCAGCCAAGCTCCCGCCCGCCGGCCGGCCCTCCGCAGCCTCGCCTGTCCAGGGTCAGGGCGGTGCCTGGGACCAAGAAGGAAAAGGTGGAGGAAAGGCGATGTGGCGCAGCGGCTAAGACAGGTGTCGAAGGCAGCCGTCTGCTGACCGGCGGGGTTGTCCTGAGCCAGGATTTATTGAGCGTCTTGAACTGACTTGTCCAAAATCACAGAGCTGTTTATTCCATAGCTGGGGATATAACTGGGGTTTTGGGTTTGTTTTTGGTTTTGTTTTGTTTGTTTTTGTTTTGGTTTGGTTTTTGAGACCCTTTAAAGCTGTCTCTCCATGTTCACTAGAGCTTTTCGGGGGAGAAATAGGCACGAGTGACAGTCCTAGGCCCCTGTGACTTAAAAACTGAGGGTTCTCCAGTGTGACTCCGTGTGACTGAATCAAACCATGACTGTAGGGGTCTTAGATACCTGGGCGTGTAAGAGGACCCTCCACTCCACTTCCTCTTTGTGGCCTCAACACTTCCCCTGGGGAGGAAAAGAAAGGAACCCGAGCCTGGGCTGGCACTCGCTATGGGGTGGATGCGGGCTCCCGCCTCGCCTATCCTCCACAACTGGCTGCACCGCTTTTCCAGGGTCTTGGCTCGTGAGATCCCACTGTCTGCAGAGAGGGCCTGATAAACTGTCTCATGCTTGCCACAGGGCGGGGACCTTGTCGGTGATTCACATTTTCTTCATTTTAAGGTTAAGGAAATTGATACTCTAAGTGACTTGGCAGTTGGAAATTCTGCCTGCTCACAAAGCTCTTTGGGCCCTGGAGCTAAACTCGGCGACCCCTTCTCTCCAACCCCCTGCCACTGGCCGCTCACCTGAATCATCGGCACAGGCCATCCCTCTCCATTTTTCAATCACTTTCAGCCTATCCCTCAAGGCCGGATATTGGGAAGATACCAGGAAGCTGTTTCTTAACTAAAAATGAGATAGAGTCATGCTTTTGTTCAAAACCCTCCAGTGGCTCCTCATACCTCCAGGATGGAGTCCAGACTCCTTTTAGTGACAAATGAGGTCATCCTACATTTGGTCTCTGCCTACTACTCTACCTTCCTTCTAGGCTTTAGCCTTACCAACTCCACGCTGTCCTTAAAGACACCTAGCTCTTTATGGGTGCCTTTTCTTCTTAGAACGCCTGTCCCTACACACAGGCGTAACTCCCTGCTGCCTGCGGGACTCCAACCCTCCTTTAAGACCCAGCTAAGAAAGCTTCACCTCTAAGAAACTTTTTCTGGCCCCTCTCCCTCCTCTTTGTGCCACACTCCATCCTGTATGTGTCTTTATCTTTGCCCTTGTTCTGCTATATGTCAATTATTAGTGACATCTTTTGTGTCCCTTTCTTACGTAACCTCCTCTCAAGGTCAGGGATTATGTCTTTTCCACCTTTGTATTCTTGCTACTTCTTGCAAAGTGTCATTGAGAGAGAACTGATAATTGTTGAATGAAAGAAATGAATGAATGAACGAACACGCAGACAAACGAATCCCCACTCTGTAGTCCCTGCTTAGCTGCTCCAGTGGTGAATCACTCCAGGCTGGGAGCAGACATGCTTCCCACAGAGGCTTCTCAACTCTGTAATTTCCTTCCTTGACAAAGTTTGATTTACTCACTTTCCCAATATACCTTCTTTCTTTTTCTTTCCTTTTTCTTTCTTTTTTAAAAATTTGGTGTGCCAGTGGTAGGCCTCATCACTGTGTTTATCTTTGTGCCCAGCTGCTATGGGGAAATGGATATGGCTTTAAATTGAGTATTTCCCAATCTGTGTGATTTCTCAACCCTTCACCTGGTCCCTCAGACTGTTTTCTCTCCCACCTTCGCTTCACATTTTGAAGAGTCTCCCTAGAGGCCACCACCATCTCTTTTGTCCACTGCGAGGGACTGAGATGCCTCAGTGCCTACAGCCTACCAGTGCAGGGGCATTCCATCAAGCAGAGTCCACAAGCATCTTGGCCTCTGTTATGATTTCAGAACAGAAAAGAAACATATCACAGCAGGGATGGATGACCCCAGTCAAAAGCTTATTGACTGGAAGATGTTTAAATGTGTATATTTAAGTACACAAAGAAAAACCCTATACGTTACTATAAGCATCAGTTTCTGAATTTGTGATTTCCCTGTAAGGACAGTTTCAGCTCTGTCCTTTAATTAAAGCAACAGTATGATTCCCTTTCTGTCCAAGGAAGTTGTTACCAATACCACTAATTTTTTCCACGAGGACCAATATAGCCAGAAATGCCAGCATTCATCTTCTATAAACAGATCCCAGGAGCAAAATTCATTGTCTGTAGCTGGTGGATAGTTCAGTTTTATTACTTGGCTTTGGGTCATCATGGGGGCAGGGGTAGAGTGGTCGACATTTATTGGGTCCACACTTCTAGTTGCCATACATCTTTGAACTCATCTAATTTCTCACAACAACCCTGTAAAGAACATATTATTGTCGAGAGAAAAAAATGGGAGATCAAAGAGGTTAGAGGTCACACAGCTTATGTGCTGGATTCTAAAGCCCAGTAGCTTTGCCAGGGCTTGGCCCAGGTGCATCTGTCATTAGCATTCACTCATTCGATAAATACTTGTTGAGAACCTACCAAGTGCCACAGCCTGGCAAATAAAGTTTAAACTTTGTAAACTGGCATATATGACTCTTCACAATGGATCCTCTGACCACAGCCTACTTGTCCAACCCTGTTTCCTGAATTTCTTCTGCTTGCTGCACCCATTTAGGCCACCAATCTGAGTCACCCTCTGAGCAGATGACTCTTGTGTTCTGTGCGTTTGAGCCATCTCAGATTTTTGCTGCAGCTTCAGTGGACAGTTCCCATGGGCTGCTTGGGTCTCACCTCAAATACTCACTTCTACTGCTCTCCACTTTTCTGCCCTGGGGTTTTTCTCAGTCACAAAGCTCAAGGGCATCCCAGATGGAAGCTTCTATGGGGGAAGTTTTCCCCGGGGACACCCCATGGCCAGTGGAAATGGGAGCTGGTTAATAAATGCCCCAGGCTCCTGTCTTTAGAGGGCATGTCTGAGGCATACTATACACGGTTGCTTTGTGGTCTCCAACAGGAATGAGACCCCGTTGTTCACAGTGGTAACCAATCCATAATGAGCTCTCTATTGGCTTTCCCTTCTTATCTGTCTCTCTCTTCCTCACTCCTGCTTCCTTCTGGAATAATCTCCCGACTGAAATACTTGCACTGGTCCTTGTATCAGTCCCTGCTTTGCCCCCTGCTTCCCCAGCTAAGACACCCTCCAGCCTCCCCACACCCTCTCTGATCCAGCCACACAGGACGCTTCACCATTCACCCAGTTACTCCTCTGTCTCTCCTGTCTCCTTTTGCCATGTTGCTTCCTCCTGTATGAAAGGATGAGATCCCTTTTCACCTGTCCAAGCCCAGCTCACCTGTGACACTCTCTCTGAAGCCTTCCCCTGCCCAGGTCTGGTTAGGCATGCTTGTCTACAGAGGGATTTAACTTAGTCACACCACAGTGTAATTAATTCCATGGCTCCTTGAGGAAATCCTGGCTCCAGCTGGTATCTCTTATCCCTCCAATTGCCATAGCCAGAGTCAGTGCCCAGTACATGTCTGCTGAGTGAGTGAATGATGAATGAGTGCATGGACCCTTTAGAACTTAACCTCCTGCTATCTTAAGCAGGACCACCATTACCCAAAGAAAGAGTGGGAAGACGCCTCTGAGGTCTAACTGCCAGGAGCTCAGCTGTTTAAAAAACTTCCTTTAATTAATAAGCAGCCTCTTTGGAAATATATGATTTGACTATCAGTCATTCACATTTCAGTGTGAACTGCTTCTCCCTTGCTTTCTTCAGGGTTATCTGAGGTTCATAAGAGAGGGCTGGGAGTTTGGACTAGGGAGGAGAATGGATGCTGAGTGCAGTCAGAAGGAGGAGGGTAACCTGGGGAGCATTGGGCAAGGGTGAGACCTGCATCTTTGCAGTAGCTGTGAACACAGAACAAAAGGCCCCTCCTTCTGAGGGCCTTCTCCACCAGGCTTACTTCCTCTAACGCAGGAGTTCTCCTGCCTACAAATCAGAATAACCTGGGAGCCATGAAGACTGTCCAGTCTTGAACTTTCTTCAGTACCAATTCATTCAGAATCTTGGGCATGGGATCCTACATCAGAATTTTATATTTTACGTTTATTGAGGTATAATACAATCAATTCACTGAAGTATGCCATTTGATGAACTTTGGTAATTGCAAACTGTCGTGTAATCCCACAACAAACAAGATACAGAACAGCTCCATCAGACTCAAAGTTTTCCTCCCACTGTTGTGCAGTCAACTCTCTTTCCTGACTCCCAGTTCCAAGTAACCATAGTTTTCTATAATTTCTGTCACTATAGTTTTGCCAATTTTATAGAGCACAGAATTTCTGCCCAGATAGTCTCTGCAATTATAAGTATTTTCTTCTCCCAGCTTTATAAGAAAAACAGCCAGATGGGAGAGATGCATAGGGCAAGTGTGTTGAGAAGCTGGAGCTGGTGTATTGAATTAAGAATATGCAGATTATGACCTGCTGAATGAGGGGGCCCAAGCCACCCACACAGGGTTGGCAGGTAGCTCCCTTAGCGTCTGAGCTTCCACTGTGGGGAAGTGAAACCCATGGAGTCATTTTGATTGAACGTGTACTTTCAGTATATTCACACAAAGGAAACAGTCACCAGATTTATTACTTACAGATCTCAGAAGAAGG